ATAAAAATTTACTTTATCTTTAAATTCACAGATATCTAATGAATGATCATGTTCACAAAGAAAGGCACTATAATATACTTCTCAGTAACTAAAATTTATTGAGAGAAATGATACTACAAATAAAGAATTTTAAATAGCATTCTCTGCTATCAATTCCAAATACCTATAAGGAAGTAATTGGAAATGCATACAGAAGCATGTGCAAGGATCGCCAACTCAAAGCAAAAATGGAAGACAATAACCTCAACTAATCTTAGAGTAATAAGAAATATTTTAATGATAAAACAATACATTTCTTTAAATATTTAGACCATTAAAATATAACTTATAAATACATATTTATATATTTGCATAGTAAAACACTGGAAATAAATATACCAATATATTACAAATAATGGTCTCCACATAGTATTTATGAAGGATATCTTGGTATTTTTATTTCTAGTTTCCAAGTAAAGTATAAATCTCATGACCATAGAAGAAAATATAACATTTCATAAAGAAATACAGAAATGGGAAATTTAACACTTGCAATAATTGAACTGACAGTCTCCTTTGGACCAAAGATGTACTTATCAGTATCGTTTTCACAAAAATGACAGAATCACGACCTAAATAAATTTAGACAAATGAGTGAATGCATCAGCTCCTCTATTAACTTAGATAGTAACCCAAACAGTAGGGGAAAGGATGAGGCTGAATGCCCAAAACAGAAACCCAAAACTGAATGGATCAATGGAACATTTAATCCATTTAATCAAGAGAAAACCCAGTGAAATTTTATATTTAAAATCACAACTACCAACAAATTCTAGGGATGATGCATATAAAAGATCTAGCTACTGAACTGATTTTGAATTATCCTGCAAAGAAAGGTTCAGTTATGAGACAAAGGAATTCTGTTAAACTCTAGTCAGTTTCATATATATATTCATAAAGCAACTATAACAAGTATAAGGTTCAGAGTCATTTAGACCATGTCTCTAACTTAGAATGAGCCTCTAATGGTCTTCATTAAAATGATTATGAATCGAAATCTCAGTATCTTTTGATAAAAATCCCTATTTCCAGTAGAAGAATATAGGGAAAAATAAAACAAACTTTTGGATTGAAGTGACTTAAATTATTCAGATGCAACAGCAGTAATCTTATGGCAGCAATAAAGAGCAGTTTAAACATTCTAGAAATAGTGATACATAGATAAATGTATCTAATTTTCCATGTAGCCAAATGATTGTTAATGTATCACCCTATACAACTGAACACTTTATAAAGAAACTTAACACTCCATATTAAAAAAAAAATGAACATAGGGGATTATTGAATCCAGAAAATGGTATAAGAACCAAAAGAAAACTCTTGTGATGACCAGCCAGTATTGTCTGTACAAAAGGGAAACCTCGTTTCAGAATATAATTTTCCAGAATGTGATTATGTATGAGATTACATCAAAAGAAAAGCTTCTGCATAACAAAAGTACCTATCAGTAAAACAAAAAGGGCACCTGTTAAAAGAAACAAGGAAAAATTTACATACAATATAGCTAACAAGGGGGTGGTACCCAAAATATCCAAAGAATTTATGCAACTCAACAAAAATGGACAGAGCAGCTTAATAGTCTCTAAAGAGACGTACAGATGACCAGTAGACACATGAAAACATTAAAAAAGTCCATCATTTCTTATTATTAGGAATATGCAAATCAAAAACACAATGAGCTGCCATCTCATCAGAATGGCCCAGATCTAAAAGACAATAAACAACGATGTTGGTGGCAAGAATATGAAGAAAGGACATCCTAGTTCTCTGTTGATGGGACTGTAGGCTATCAAGACCTTATGGAAACTAGTGTGGAGGTTTCTCAAAATATTAATATGGATCTGTCACATGACCCAGTAATTCCCTTCCTAGGTATCTACGTGAAGAAAACAAAAAACACTTAGTCAACATCATAAATATTAGTTTTAGCCCTGTTTACAATAGTTAAGTTATAGAAACAGGCTAAGTGTCCAAGGACAGATGAGTGGATTAGGAATATTTGATATATATACACAACAGAATACAACTCAGCTATTAAAAAAAATGAGAGCCCTCCCTGGTGGCACAGTGGGTGTAAGCACAGCACTGAGAAGCTAAAGCCACTTTAGCATGAGTTCAATCTCTGCCCTGGAGGTGACCCATATGGTGCAGCAGACCTCTCCTGACCTGGCTGCTACGTCCCTCAGCAGTGTACTTCATCAGTCAGCCTGTTCTGCTCTCCACTGTGTCTCTGGTCAATCCTCTCACTGTCCTGTACCTCTGGCCTGTACCCCAGTTCTGTATGCATAAATAAATAAATAAATATGTATTTTTTAAATGAACCATTGAGATTTACAACAAGATGGATGAAACTGGAGAAAATAATGCTAACTAAAATCAGAAGGAGACAGAAATACCAAATAGTCTCAAATGTATAGGTACATGGAGAATCATTACAAAGGGTCAATTAAACCAAAGCAGTAATAAACTCTTAACATCTAACTGCAGGACTGAAGAAACAAGATGGCAAGGTGGTGTGATGATAGTATGGGAGAAAAGGGATTCAAAGAAACATTTAGATGATTATTGGGCACTAGTAGGTAGGATATGAAAATATGCATATGTAGAGATTTAAACATATAATCCCCAAAGTAGACAATGATGTAAACCTACTTTACCTCAATAAACTTATGTAGGATGGAAAAAGAATAGAAGGGGCAAATATTAAAATTCAATGGATTTGGATACCTTGCTTATTGTGAAAAAATCTGGTGTTTTCACAGTTCCTTGAGCTGTGAAAGAACAGGTCACATGGATTCTACCCAAAGATGTGAACCCCTATAGGCTCAAAGATTCTTCTGTCTTAGTAAAACCATGGCAGGGACCCAAATGAGGCAAGAGTATGAACAATCTGCAGCATATAGTTGAAGACAGTTGAGTCTCCCTTAGCTATTTACCCACTGAGTATTGATAGGAATTCCTGTCTGTAAAACAGATGCCATATTTACACTTCTAATAATTATTAATAAGAATTATTATTCCGTAGGAATTATGGCTAAAGATTAGCATAATCTGCGACTATATTTAATCCATCTGTTTACAACTTCCCTCTTATCAAATATTATGTCCCTCTCATGTGAAACAAAATAAACTCAGTATCCATGTATATCACCAAATTAAGGTAGGACAAAGAAAATTAAATGAGTTTGAACATCGGAATGAACACCAAAATTAACACGGTTTATTCACAATGTGTTACTTAGAGATCTTCCTGAAATTAACTAATTGACTACATACTCTCTTCATTGCCACCTTCATTTCTTGATTCCTGTATGTATAAATGATAGGATTCAGGAGAGGAGTGAGGAGAGCATCAAAGACGGCCAGAAACTTGTCAAGGTGTATGGAGGGTAATGGCCATGCATAGACAAATATCAGTGGACCAAAGAACAAGACTACCACTGTGATGTGAGCTGAAAGTGTGGACAAAGCCTT